TTCCCTACATGTCTTCATGAGCAGCAAAATACAGTGTTGGCATTTAAAATATTGTCAGTGCATGGATGATGGGTGAATGACTGACTGAGAGTTTTCTCCTCAGAAGTAACTTTGGGAGGGCTCTTTGCAAATTTAGGCTCTAGAGATGCTTACTTTTTGTATCAGTTACGCTTGCCATGCATTTTTGAGCTTTGCTTTGCAAACATAAATGGGGCTATTCTTTTCATTATAGTTGCTATTGTCCATGCTCGTCAAGTGTCTTGTCCTCCAGCTGCCTGGAAAGATTTGGAAATAACATTTAACTACCTCACAGGAGTTAAATATGAAAAAAATGTCTTTCAAAGCTTTCATGGCCTTTGCATGCCAGTCACAGACTGTCACCTAGAGTGCATTATAAGCTTGGATAAGCTTTCCATATTTCAGGTTCACAGTTTGTCACTGCATTGTTATTTTCATTGCTATGTCTTTGATCTCACAAAAAGCTCTGTGCTGGTCAAGGAGTCTGTTGATACAGTCCCCTTCGCCCATGTGGGCCTTTGAGCTCATTACAGGGAGAAGGAAGGATCATGAAAGCAGAGCGTCAGAAAACATTGTAGTTGCCAAATAACATAGCATTTCTGAAGCTGTTCTATGTCTTACTGTGGGCCTTTGCTTCAGATCTGAGCTTTCAGAGATTGCCGTCCACTCCATTCTTTCATTAATGTAGCTGTGACAATACAGAAATATTAGCAGTACTTACTATTGTGTCAGTCTAGAGGTATCCATCCCACATAGAAACTGCAATGCAAGCAGAAAATAGATAGACCCTTTGTCCTGAGGTTACTACCTAAAGGTCTAGACTACAGAAGGTAAGCGGATATAGAGAGATGGGGAAGCAGAAAGAAATGAAGTTATGAGCACTTACTGCCTAGCGCTATTGCTGACACCTGTAGGTAGGTTTCCCTCCTGAAATCTGCTGTAGTTCCCCCAGCTTGGTCAGCAGTCCCTGGTTGTTTCCAGTGTGTGTTTTTGCTGGCAGCTGAGGTGCTTGCACAGAAGGTCCCAAAGTGTTCTTCAGATCATTTTGTCTAGCGCTAGTGTTGGGAAGCCCCAGCTGTGTTGCACTAGGCTTTGTACACACATCAGCACAAAGACAGTCACTGCCTGAAAGAACAGTTAATAAAGTATAATGAAGACTACTGAATCCACACTGTTTCAGAGTACATGGCTGCATTGAAATATGTGTGAATATGCACCAGCACTGTCTCAAATCACTAGGAGTCTGTTAACACACTGTGCTAGTCAGTCCCATTACAGCACAAGAAGGCTGAGGTGGTTTTCCCTTCTAATACATGTTGTAAAGGATATTTATTGAGAGATACTTTTACAGTAAAAGTTATGGACAGTTAAAAGCATATCACAAAGCAATACCTTGAGATTTCATATGGCTTGCAAGTGGCATTTCCAATTTTGTATACAAATTCAAGTATGTTTATAGGAAGTTTTTGTGGTACTAATTGAAATTCATGAAACTATAAATGCCTCTTTCTCCAAACTGGCATAATTTTAATATGAGAAGAACTATCCGTACATCCTTAACTTAACATTTATTAGAAAACTCAAAATCTTAGTGGTTGACATTGGAGAAAAATGGGTCAAAATAAAGGCAAAGTTCCTGTTTATTACAGAAGATAAAAAAAGGGGAATATATTTTTTTCCAGTTATTCTAATTCATGACTCCAAGCATGGTGTGATTGCATTCTGTCTAGTCAGTTCTTTTCTTTGTATCTTGAAGAAGAGATATAGCCAAAGTAAAGGGCATTTGGAGACAGACAAGGAAAATAACTGAGTCACAGAGAGTCTTCTGTTTGAGGAGGGATGGGAAAGATAGGGATTGTTTTAATTTAAAGAAGAGACAAATAAGAGAGGATGCGACAGTAGTGTACAGAATGATGAATGATACAGAGGAGGTGAATTGGGCGCTCTTGCTTGCCCTTTTGTAAGTACAGAAGCAGAGGGGCAGTCAATAAAGCCAAGGTAAAAACAGTAACACTGTTTAAAGAAAATTTTTAAATAGTAACTACCTTGTTTCCGCAAGCTTACCTTGTTTCTCCATGATGCTACAGCGTTACTGGGAGGGATGCAAAAGACCTCTAGGAAATGAATTGAAGTTGTCCTGCTACGCTGATCATGTGGGCATACTGCAGAGAGTGCTGACCGAATCAGGTTATATGGCTTGTGTGAAGGGGAAAAACTAGTTAGGTAGTCTTAAAGAACCTTTTTAGTCTTAAAAATAAGTGAAAGTTGCATAGGATATTAATATATGTAATGAGAGTATCCATACATTTGCTAGTAAGAGTAAAAAAGTAACTTTTCAAGGTAGAAGCCTATTCTTGATGGAAGGAATATTGCTCTATGGTTGACCCACATGTGACTTTTTTTTTATTCTTATTTTTTTTGCATGTCTTCCTGGATATCTGCTTGTGACCCTTCTATAAAAGGCTGATGTTCAGCCACGCTGGTTCAGGGCTCTACTGTCAGGGCCAAGCAGACGTCTGTCCATAAGGAAGTTGTAGGAAGTACATTTATTCTTCCTGAATATTCCTTTCTTGTTTTCTCTTGCTGTCAAGAGAAAACTTGTTCTGTTTATTATTCATCTTTAATTGATAAGTTTGTATCAAGATCCAGAATAAAATGTATTTTTATCAGTAGATTCTAGGGAACTTCAACAAATAAAGAAAAATTTAGATGTATCACTCCCCCCTCCTTTTTTAAGGAGGATGGTGAGGCATGCAAATAGCTTATAACAAGTGAGAGAATTTTCTGGTTAGATTATTAAAATATCTGTTTCGATCCATTGTTACTTTTAGTGCTCTTCTTGTAGATTTGCAATTGTTTTATAATTCGTCACCATAGAGTGTTATTTCATGTAATACAATCCTAATCCACCTGTGGTGATCATCACTTCAAAGCCTAGTTCCTGTGGTCATTTTAAGTGCTGTGCCTGCCTTGTTTCTAATGTCTGTGCCTAGAATGTTGTGGTAATGTCAGTGTAGTTATTAAGGTCTGGATTGTGTCTGTAAGATAGCCTTTCCTTTCCTCCTGGAGTTTTCCCCACATTAAAATAGGTGGAACACCCCAGTTTCTGGATGAAGACTACTCACAATGATATAGGGGGAGTTGCATTTTTAGTAGTGTTTCCTTGTGCCTTTTAATTAGGTCTTTGTTTCTCACTGACCTAAAGGACATCATGAATGCATCTGCTGACATTCTCAGTATTAAACTTTGTGCAGCTATTGAACATTTAAAATATTTACTATTCAACAAGAACAGATAAATTTTATGAATCACCTAACATATATAATTTGTAAAAGTTTGTAGGAGGTACATATTTGTGTATTTGTGTGTGTGTATGTATGTGCTGTGTACATCAACTGTACAGTTAGGAATGTATTTGCCCACCACTGCAGTCCAGCTGACTCTGAAATAGCTATGGACATTATCTTGGCAGCCCTGAAATACCAACCTACAACATGGTGAAGAATCGTTCAGCAGTTTGAAATTGCAGAGAAAATTCAATTGTAAATGTAATTACGCAGTCAGAGGTATGCAGATTTTATGTCCAAACTTAAGTGAAAAGAAGTATTCAGTCTAATTCTTTGTCATTTGTCAAAAGCCCTCCAAAACCCATCTAGGCTGCAAGCTAAGCTGCCTTTCATAAATCTCAGCTGAAGGCTTGCTGCTGACTTTTTAAGACTAAATTATTTCTATTGTTCTCAAGTAATTACATTTTTGTTGTTATCTGAGGAGAGAGCCCCACTGGGTTAAGCATGTAAGTATATGGGGATAGGGAGAAGGAAGATCTGTGTTAGTTAAGTGGAGATGATAAAGCTGAAAACACAGCAGCAGGACATAAATCAGATTTTTTTTTCTTTTTCTAGTTGGCTCGTCACAATAAAACATTGCAACAGATGCTGAAACCAGGGTCAGATCCAGATGAAGGAGATGAAGCCTTGAGGTATTATGCCAATCATACGGCACAGATAGAGGTAAAGAATTGCTCACTGGAAGATTGAATATGAGACAAGTTTGCATCTTGTGCATGGTGTATCAACTCTTTTTAAGATTCAGAGCGGCAAAGCTTATTCAAATGGTGTAGATTATTTAGAAGGAAAAGGCTGAATAATATGCTTTTGGCTATGGGAGAAAAAGGAATGCACCTATATTAAAAGTGGCTTCAAATAATCATATTACAGTAGCTTGCTTGTGTGTTACCAAACATGTTTTGTTAGGGACATAACGACTGTGTCATGAAGTCAAGAATAATCTTGTATGGTACATCACTCAATAAACAGTCATGAATTTCAAAGCCAGTGATGCTAAATGATCAAATTAAAAGTCTGGCTGGAGTACAAAGAGGTTTTGAAGTTGTGTAGACATTCAGTATGGCTTTTGTTTAGAAGACCAAGGCTTGGCCTGGTTGATAAGTTCTGTTCTCTATTTTAAACTTCACCCCTGCCATGGATTGGATTTAGATCAAGATCCACAGTGGTACTCTTCTGTCAGTTCCTGCACTCTTACAAATTTCTTGGAATTATAAGCATCAAGGTAGGAGTTAGGCACTCTCGTATTTCTAGTCCTCAGTGACTTCATAAGGAGGAGAATTTTTACAGGGCAGAGGCAGCTGCTGTGAGGGACTGCAGGAAGAAGAAGCATCTGTCTTTTGGAAATGCTGTATCAAGTCCAAAACTGGCCAAGTATGAAAATAGTACAATATGGTTCCACACAGGCCCAGTCTGAATCTGAGCCAATAATTTAACCTTCAATGGGATCCCAGGCACTATCACAGCACTGGACTTGAGCTTGGGTGTGTAGAGTCTTGATGCAAGCACATCAGGTCCCTTTCGCCCTGGCTGCCACCAAGACAGGTTATGGCTGGGTCCTTCTCTGTTTCTCACCATCCTTTTTGCCTGATACAGGCCATGTTATCCCACCACCAGATAGACGGAAGCTCCATGCCTGTGGTGGTCCAGAGGTCAGCTCAGCGGTTCTTTTAACATATTTTAATACTTTGGGTGCTCCTGAGGTATTCTGAAATCTCCTAAAACCTCATGACTGCAAAGCCCATTCCTTTTGCCGATATGTAGGCCTCTATTCTCAGGGAGGCTTTTCAAATGTCATTCTGCATAGCAGCACATGCAGCTTACTTCTTCATTTGAGTCCCTGACAGAATTGAAGACGTGCTGTCAGCTGCTTTATTCACCCTACAAGGTTAGCTGCTAGTCACATAGTCCTGTTGCACAACTCCTGGCCTGAGACATAACTATTTACTTAGGATACTCCAAAATTGCTTGCCCAAATTTCACATAATGCATATGCGCATGAGCAGACATGAGCATAATTATCCTTCATCTTCAAAACAAATGTGCTTGACTATGTTACTTTTAAAAATTACTTAAGACAGGTGTTTTTTTAGTATGTTCACATAATAAATATGAATGGAGAGACAGGGGCATGGTTTGATGCAGGACTGAGACTGGAAAAGTGAAACTCAGCCCAGCATTGCTGCTGAGTTTTGAATGGATGCTCACTGGTCTTTCTCTGGAAGCAGTCCTAGATTTGTCTGGCGTTTCAAATATATCTCCCTTATATCAGGGTATCTCATTTGTTTGATTTGAAAGTCAAATAGTGGGGTTTCTTTTTCACTGGTGGTTGTACAGAGACATGGGTCTAGGAGTCAAGGTGAGTTTCTGCTCATTTCTGTATTTTCAGTAATGCAGAGTCCATGATCGAATGGAGAAGCAATTTTGGTGGCAGCGTGGTGAGGCGGAATAAAAATCTAGCTCACTCACTGATACCTCAGTAGGCCCTGAAAAACAAACAATGCAAAACCTTGGTTTTGTCAAGTAAGAAGATAAAGACTGAAAACACTTGGGTGCTGTCTGAGTAACAAGGTGCTATTTTTGCATGTTCACCTTCACAATTTATCTCATCATTGAAATAGACTCAAGGTGAGAAAAGGATTTTGTAATCTGAGTGGAAAACCTCTGAAAAACAGAAACCTCAGAAAACCTTCTGCCCTGTTTACTGGGAGAGGTTTGTTTCCATTTATTGCAAAATTGAAGCATTCTGAATTAGAATATTTGATATATTTAGGGAAAGTCCAGACCTAGGTTTTGCTCAAGTATTTATTTGCTCGAATATGTATTTGCCACCTTATATTCAGGCAGGCTTTTGAAGATAGAAAAGCAGTTTTGCTTTGTTTTAGGATTGATTGGTTCAACTTCATAACTTCATTGTAACGTTCAAATAATTTATTCATTAATTTACAAATAAAAGGGGAGCTGTGAACAAGAAAAGATATGACAGAATGGTTGGATAGTCACTGATCTTGAAAAAAAATACGCATTTTATTTATAGATTGTGCGCCATGATAGAACAATGGAACAGATCGTCTTCCCTGTCCCCAATATTTGTGAGTTCCTCACTCGGGAATCCAAATGTCGGGTATTCAATACAACAGAGAGAGATGAACAAGGGAGCAAAGTCAATGACTTTTTTCAGCAGACAGAGGACCTGTACAACGAGATGAAATGGCAAAAGAAAATTAGGAGTAAGTATTGCAATTTCAAAAAATATCTTAATTGTGCCAAAGCCCTGCTTTTAAGCCTTCAAATACCTTCATTTTAACAGTACATTTTCTCTGCTCACTCTGATACTGGAACAGGCAAAACTGTTCAGGGCTTGAAGGTGCAGGTCAGCAGAGACACTTGCATGACACCCTGAAAGAGGCATAATATGAAGCAATCAGTAATATAAGTAATGTGTTCAAGATGATGTTTCGGACTCCAAAAGTTAAACTGAAGGGTGGATGAACTGGGTGTAGTTCTTACTAAACTCAATAGTGCTACGCGTAATTAAGCCAAGGCCCCTAATATTTAACAAAAACATATGTAGCTGCATATTTGAGGTTTGCAAATTCCTAAAAGACCATTAAAAAACTTGTAAATGTCAGTCACTTAAAAACGTCTCTCACCAGAACCTCAGCTGCTTTAAATCTGCTTGACTCCCATGGAGTCAGTTCCCCTCTGCCAGTTCACATCAGCCTTGCTTGACTAGGCTGCAGTATGTCCCAGTCTGCTATGTCCCATGGTAATGGGAGAGGCACACGTACCACCTTGAGCTGCTTGCAGATCTGACAACCACAGTCAAGATCATGGGGGAGAGATTGAAGCAGAGACCCAAAGAGGAGGTGCAGTGAAGCCAAGCCAGGTACCCTGAGTTTCTTGTTTAGTTCACCGATGGGCATTACAGCTGCTAGCCCTCACTGGGAATGGTGCTGCCACTGCTGATGTCCTGGGGACAGGAAGCTCCTGCCAGCTCAGCTGCTGTCAACTCTGCGCTTTGCTTTTGGAGCAGAGAATCGAGGCTGCAAACTGATTAAGCATCTGCAGTATCCTGGAGGGATAAGGAAGAAAGTTATATTTTATATATGTATATAAATAAAAATACACAAGTGTGGTCACTTCATTCAGTGTTAAAATTCAGATGCCACTGGGGTGGTACACATCAGCTGATTGCAGCACCATTATGCAATTGATTAAGAAGGAAGGGAAGAACAGTATCTATGGTCAGAGCAGCAGAGAATTTGGATAGTCAAAGCAATATGGCTTCATGTAGCAACTTTAACATGATGGAAACATGGATGTTGGTTGCAGTTTTTATAAATGTCAATTCCCAGGCTATAGTTTTCAGAGGCAGTAGTAAGTCTTCAGTATGAACCCTATTGGCCCAGGTCTGCTTCCCTTGATAGCACTGGAAGAACTTGTCTGCACTGACAAACTGACCAGAGCAGAAGTTGGAAAAAAAAATTATTCCAGAATAACTCCCTGTCTGCACAGTCTATTTGGGAATAAAAGTCACTGTATTGTAGAAAAATTACTCCAGTAACAAAATCTTATCTGTTGGTTTTGCTTAAGAAACACAAATAAAAGAACCCAATGCTACACTTAAATACACCAGACCTGCCTAATGCTATAAGCAAAGAAAATTGGTTTATTTTTATTCAGAACAGAAATTCCTCAATTCCTTTCATCAGTAGACTAGCCCACAAATCTCCATGTGGGATTTTTTTTTATTCTTATTTGAAAAGATAATACAGGTTGAAGCTCAGTTCATTCTTTTGCCAAATGTCTGTTAGCATGCAGCCTGTGTTGCTTAAATTGACGGATATAATATGCAATTGCTCCAAATACTTAAGTCTCAGCAGTCAACAGCATAAGGTTATCACAATGAAATCTGAATATTTACCTCATCATAATTAAAGTCTATTTAGACTAAAGCCTGAGACAGTCATATGCAGTTGAAGGACTCTGCTGTTTCTAGAAAGCTAGTTGTGTGCAGGCAAGTCAGGAATATGCTCTGCATGCTTGCAACAGGTTCTCAGTACTTTAAAATCTAATTATTAGGAATGCTTCATGTTCGAATAGATAAACGTCTTTGGCTAGAGATCTTCTCACACTATTGCACACAGAATCTTGTTTTCAATGTTCATTTAAACCTCTGCATGCTTGCAGCAGGTTCTTGGTTCTTTAAAATACAACTAATAGAAATACATCATGTTTGGATAAACAAACCTGATTTTTTCACACTATTGTATGTAGAATGTTGTTTTAAATGTTCATTTAAACATACTGTAGTGCAGTCACACATACAAAATGCTTGCCTGAGTCTTAGTACCTGCTGATCTTGTTCCTAGCCTTCTTGCTGAATTTTAGTCTTTTTTAACTAGGTTATAGGTTCTTTGGAATAAAGACCATTTCTGTGTATTTGTTCAGCACTTCACATATGGTGATCCTGGCTTCATTTGAGTCCTTTTAAGTAGGAGTAAAGAGCTGTTTGTCAGCAGGTAACCTTGGACATCTGAGGATCATGCAGAAAGTAGTCAGCTTTCATAAAAACAAATCCTAGTCAGACCAAATTTTTACCTGCTCCCCCAAGTAGATCAAGATGTATTCAGTTTGACAGAGGTGGAGAAAATACCGCAGATCTGAAACGTTGCCTATTCCACTGTGCTTGGTTTAATGTCATCAGTGTACTTGGTCCAAATGGGTCATCTGGATGACCTGTTCTGAGTCTTCTGGTTGACTGGCACTCAGAATGCTAAGGTGTATTTTTTTCCTTGATTTTGTGTCTCCATGCACAGAGGCTACAGATTCAGAGTCAGGTGAAAAACTCTTCACAAAAGATCTAGTTCTAAAAATCTTAGCAGAGGCAAAACTCTCATATATAATAAACTGCATTGGGATCTTTGGATTAAAAGCTCTACTTGAAACTAAGTTTTATGTCAAACCTATGTTTAATATTACTTTATTTTAATTAATTTTAAAGATCTGCATATTTTCTTCATTAATCTGTATTTTTTAATTCCCTGAAAGCCATTACTGATTGAGTTTCCACCTACTTTCATTTCACTGATTGCTGCTCTTCTCCCCTTTCTAGATAATCCACCCCTGTTTTGGTTCTCCAGACATATCTCTCTCTGGGGGAGCATTTCCTTCAACCTTGCTGTATTCATCAATTTAGCAGTTGCTCTGTTCTACCCCTTTGGAGATGATGGAGATGAAGGCAAGCGGAGTTTGGTTTTATTTTTCCTTTTAATTTCAGATGCTTTCAATGCTAAGGTAACAGCTATGTAAAACTACATCTTCAGGTATTCTTGTATCTGCAGAAGCCATTTAGTACCTTCTAAGTAGGTACCAGATGTGGTCTGAAATGTGATAGCTGATCTGTGTGTCACATGGCCCATGCAATGTGAAGTAAAATGGACAGAACATAGTTGCTAAAATGAAGATGATCCAGATGATCGGAGCTAATTCTGCCATATTGCAGTGTACCTCTGCACACACTGAGTTTCAGCTTCTGAGCTGAAGAAGGATTC